TAATATATGTTGTCATAGAGATTTCGCAATAATTCAATAACAGCGCGTTGTAATAAAACTAACCGATAGCTAAAGTTTATATTCTAATACACTTTAATATCGTGAAGGATCGTTTAATGGGATGTCGTCAAGCAAAGACGTGATGGGATCGATTCAACATGATCCAGGGCCCGTTGCCGGAGGTCAGGAACCACTGGATCAGCACTTCCAGAATCGCGTAAAACCGATCCACGTCGCAGTTCTGGCTTTGGCGATCGCCGCCCTGATATCGGTCCTAGCAGCTTGCTACGTTATTACAAGGTATGCAAGCTTTTATTACCTATCTGCCCACGTAAAGTTTCTTGTTACGAGATCATGGGGAAGTTTCGGATCTCGCATAACGACACTTTACAGGTAAACGAAAATATCACTGACAAGATAGCACAAGGTAATTATGCTATAACTACAAAGATTCCAAATTCAGCTTCACGGCTCATTTACGAATATATATGATTAAAAATCGACTCGTTAATTATGCTAATGAAAAAACAGCATCAACTGTTTCCGGTGCTTCGATGATACTTCGATGATTTTATAACACATTACCGTTCGAACGTAAATGGCGGAGGCGTCGTCGTTAGATTTTTAATTTCACCTCTATTTCCGCTTATAAATTACATGATTGTGTTTAATCGTTCGTTCTCCTCCATCTTTTCGTTCAATCGTAAAATATTCTTATATTTTGCTACATTTGTTGATACGCTGCCAGGAATTTGTGTTCGCCTTTTTGTTAAGGAAACAACATTCATATGTAAGTTCGTAATTGTAATTGCTTGGCATTGCTCGCTGGCGGCATACCATGCTCCACCGAATCGATCCGCGAGTAAGTACGACACAGCGCGCGGCATGGCGCGGCACTGCGCCGTTTCAAATTCGTGATCAAAGCAAAAGTCTCAATTCTTCTTATATATCACGTTCTCTCTTATACACATGTGTATATGTATAACGAAATAACGGGCGTGCCAGAAAAATTCAATCGAACGAAAGCACGCGCTCGAAGGCGAGCTACCTTTATTAGCTGACGCATTTACTCGACGTTGCGCACGTCGCATCGTTCGCGAACGCTTTGAAAAGTCTCCCATTGGAAAGCATGCCGCGATGAAAAACCTTGTGCTAATATTAACTCGGCGACCCGTTAACAATCACCGTTCGCGACGCGTTACGAATTGCGACTGTCTCCGATACCCGTCGAAATGACCGGACAGTCGGTCATGTACATGGTCGCTTTTTTAAGACACAGTAACAAAAGCAAGAGAACGGTGTAACGTGTAACACGGACTATAGAAAGACATATAGGAAACTTTGTTTATGTATTGTAGACAGGACTACTGTTCTGTCATTTGTATTCTGTCAATGAAGCTGAATAAGTAGCAATTAGAATAAAATTTACTGCTCGATATTATCCACCTGTGAACTGATACGACGCGACAGCCAAGGTTTATAGAAAATATGACATCGTCCTGTCCATAGGACAGCGTCGCAGCTTTCGTCTTGTTTTCCTTTTCTGAACCGGCTCGTTTCAGCGGTTTCTGTCTGACGGCTAGACCGTAGCCGGTTTGTCAAGGCACGGCGACTAAAAGCTGACCGTAATTGCTCTCTCTTATCAAGCCTCCTTTTTCATTGGGACCCATCCGAACAGATAACGGAGGCCCGAAGGCCCACCGAGAGGTCTACCCTCTAATCTTTGGCCACCGAACGGTTAAGTGGGTTTTCGAGTTCGGGAATGTCCTGACCTCGACTCGCATACACCTTTCGTCGACTTGTTATTTCCTTTCCTCTACCTTTATCTCACCCTCGCCCGAGGCGCGTATTTCGACTCGGAGCATCGCCGCTCCGAAGACACGAGCCGACCCTTTACCGATTTCTTTGTGTTTCACACGGTTCGGACGTTAATGTGGGCGCGTTTCTATCTGGTTGTAACGACGTTGCTCTATCGAGCACGACGCGCCAACCGGGGTAAGGTCGGTAAGGGATTTCTTTTTATCGCGAAGGAGCGGGACTGCGCCTCGAGTGTAGAGAAAATAGAGGCGAATTAGGATAAGGGTCCCTGATAACTGCTGAAGTGTATACTTTGGTGAACGCGCGTTCCTGTTTCGCCCGTTTATCACGGGGTATTTTTAGACCAAACCGACCGTGATGGCCACTGTACAAAAACTTTATAGATTTATGCACTTCTCTTACCTTCCGAGATGCTAATATATTTTTCATTCGCAGATTTTTGAGAACGAATCCTGCTTACGCTATAGACAGCATAGAATAAATGCCTAAAGACTTCTTGGTTTCTATTCGGAATTCGTTAGAAGACCGGAACAAGGATTATCACGCGCTTTCGTCGTTGGATTATGTCAATCAGGTGAGTTATTATGAATGAATAATTCTTCAACAAGTAGCTAAATATTTTACTCGATTTATACGCGAATTAATCTAATTTGTATAATTCTGATCGAGTAATGAACGTAAAATTTAAATTATGAATTTATCAAAGAAGTCTATAATCTATATTG